ATGATGAAAGCCTCAAAATTCGTATGTCAACAATCAAATAATAAGACATCAACACAAAAAGAAAAAGTAACTAAAGTGAAACTGAGACCAGAAACAGAGATCTAACCTCTTCCTAGCCATATTGTTACTTTTGGCTTCTTTTAATGATGTAAATCAACGGTGCAAAACAAACAAAAGCATGTATACAGCAATATCAGTAGATTTATCCATCAATTGTATAGAAATAATATCAAAAGAACTAAAAACATAGCATAACGGTTTTTGCTTGAATCGATTGGAGAAGATAACTTTATCAATAAGGAGAACAATGTGAAGATAAATGAAAGGAAGAAAAAAGATGCTAATGGTGGTATCCTCGCTGACATGGGCTTCTTGTAGACCCAAAAATACTTGTAAGCAGAACTCAACATGTAAATCGTTTGCTTCATTTTCAATTAGGCCTTGCTCTATCTTCTTTAAGGGTTATTAATTCCTTAGTATTGAATTTGATTTGATTGATTGGGACCAACAAAATCAAGTGCTAACTCCCATTTCTTATTGGCAATTCTTATTGATCCATTAATCTTGGTCTAAAAAATCTAGACCCATCATTCAGTTGATTTATTCTAATTCATTGATTTAATCCATTCTAAATATTTGAAATAGAAGGGAGAAATTTTTGGAAACATGAATCCCATTTTTAACAATTTTTTGTAAGAAAAGAATTTGACCTTTATCTCGAAGCGTTGAATGAAATAGCTTTGTTTAATTTGATGAAAGATGAATTATTGTGGGGAACCTCCTCGTAATATAGAAGAATATGTATAATTGGTGACTGGACCAAGCTCTTTTCTAGAATTTATTGTTGGAAGGATGTGCATAAGAAAGAATGTCCAGTCTTTTATAAAATAAATATTTAGTTTTGCATATGACAACACAATATAGTATTCAAATATGATTAGTGCGAGAATGCAATGAATTTTTTTATTTTATTATGTTCGCGATGCCTTCAATTTCTCAACACTTAAATCAATTATGCTACATGAATGAATGTTGTTGCATTACATGATTGAGTATTCTTACATTACTTGCAAGTTTTGAATTTCCATAAATATATTTAATCATATAACAAAAATACCCAAAAAATACAATAGAAACTTCCCGCATATAAAGTAAGAAATACTAGCAAGAGTTAATAAAATATTTGAATTTACATATATTTCCATCTAAGAATTAAAAAGTTAAGCTGAGAAAAAATTTACCTATAAAAATGTAATGATGAGAGAATATAACAGGTAGTATCAAGCCAGAAAGTCTTTCAAATAAGTACAACCAAGATCATCTGTGTAAGAAAATGGAATAATTTAAAAAACAACAATAATAATGAAAGCAATGAGTACAATAAGTATAATATATGGAAGGAAAATTAATAAAAGAGTAAATTTTTTATATCAAATATTTTTTTGTAGATAACTTCTCACGATATGATAAAATTGCATCTTGTACAACGTGTATTATGTGAAGTTGAAAGGAAAAATAAAATATGAAGAGTTGTAAACTTACGTGCGTATAAATGAAAGAATTTCCTTATATACAACATTTGTGGTACATCTATCATGTAAATGGTCACTATTTATTGGTTTAAGTAAAACTTTGATAGATTTGCTTGTTTTTACCATTGATAATGCTACATACAGTTGACCATGACAAAACATTGGTCGTGGAAGATATAAACCTACAAAATCTAGTGTTTGATCCTGTGCTTTATTTATTGTCATTGCAAAATATGGCCTAATTCGGAATTGAGTTCTTTTAAATTTGAATTGAATGATAATCATTTTTTAGAGGTATAAAAGAGAGTCTTGGCAAGAAAACATATTTTCTACAATATTCACCTGTTGTAATTTCAGCAAGAATTACGTTCTTTTCAAATTTTCGACAAATAAGACATGTTCCATTGTATAACCCTTCTGAATAATTAATATTTCGTAATAACATTACATGATAGTTTATCTTAAGCATCAATTCATGAGGAGGAATACCATTTAAAGTTAGGCTATTTAAAAAATCCTCTTGTAAGCTTTGTTCCGATTTATCAATTACTTCATCAAAACTATAGTATGTGTAAATTTCACTCGAAATTTGTTCAAGTAGAATTTTGTTAATATGATCAACACATTCATTTGTAGGTGTAAGAATAACTCTATTTGTCATTACATGGAGATCATCAAAACATGCTTCTATATCTGGAAAAACATGATGTGTCAATTTTTTTAAAGATGTAATTTCATCTTCAAATGGTAAAACTATATTTTCTGGAAGTTTAATGCATTTACAATTATGTTCTCTCTCTATTCCATCTCCAATTCTTAGCAAGTAACTACAAAATGTGGGATCCAGTTTAGCCCTTATGTTTTCGATCAATGGTAGATGCTTATATAAAGGCCATAGATCCCAAAAAACTAAGCTAGCTTGCATTATATGGTGCTTTTTCCCTTTCCACACAACTGATAGGATTTAACGAAAATCTCTTCCAAGAACTAAAACTTTCCCGTCGAATAGTAAATTACAATCGGTAATATCTCTTAGCATTTTATCTACAGCTTCTATAGCGAAACGATTGACCATCGGTACTTCATCCCAAATAATTAACCTAGACATTTTCAACAAAGTTCCCAAAGTCGATTGCTTACTAACAGAACAACATATTTCACCGACTGTTTCCAAAGGAATCTTAAATCTTGAATGAGCAGTTCGACCTCCAGGTAAAAGAGATGCAGATACTCCAGATGATGTTGTTGCCAAAGCAATTAAATTTTGTNGATATTTATTTTTACAACCTTTATTTGCTTCCATACATACATTCTTAGGATTGAGATTTCCACAAGGGCCATGCATATTGTGTTTAATAATAACAGAATGAAGATAAGGGTATTTCTCTTCGTCAGGAATTTCGCAGTATGCTACCTTATCAACCTCTTCAGTACAACAAATTTTGTGACAATAGTTAAAAATTAATAGTAGATGTGCATGAGGGAAACCTCTTTTTTGGAATTCGATCATATATATATGAGCAATAACGGGGCCAAGTATATTTTTCTTATACAAATCATTTTTCAACTCTTCTAATTTTGCTACAAAGATACGTGCAATTAAATTGGTCGATTCTGAACATCATCATTGTGTCTTTGTTCTGGCCAATTGGGATTACAAGTTACAGTTAAGAATATATCCAATTTTCCATATCGTTGTACGATAGCCATCACATCCATATATCTCTTTAATAAATCTCTAGGGCATAGTAATAGTAAACTTTGTGCGATTCAACAGAATGACCATTTATAGTAATATCACAAATACAAATGTTTGCATTTTCATCATCTTCAACCCATACAACAGCTACTTGAGATACTGTAGAAGTATTGAAAACTCTTTGATCAACTCCTGGATCGCATCTTATCTATATTCGATGATGTTGCAAGTTAGTGATATTACATAAAGACCTAAAGAATTTACTATAAGGATTTATTTGTAGAATTTGCAGTAATATAGTCAAAGTAGATTTAGAAAAGTTCTCTGAAATTTTCATACAATTTTGAAGTTCATTAGCTTTATCATAAAAAAATATAACTGCATATAAGAAGGTGTATTATTATCTGGTATAAGTTAATTTATATAATAATACACTTGCCCCTGAACCCTAAATATATAAATACCTCTGTATCTTTTAAAAAGTTCTTTGTCATATTTCATGCCAAACGAAGTGAATGCAAAGTGGTTATTATATCCTCTTGCAATTTTCTTGAATTTCACACATAAAAGTTCTTTAGAAGTAAACAAACCGTACAGTTCAGTTGGTAATTCAGGTATAAAGAGCTTAATTTTTCCATCGGAACAATAGAAGCCTTTACTTTCTCTAAAAAAATTTCTTGCACCACAATATTTACAGTCAATACATATAGGTAATACTTATGAAGTAATTCGTATATTCAATAGGTTCGAACTTTCTTCTAATTTACAATTGAGAGCATTAACTGTTCCTTGGTTTGACGTTGAAACTTCAGAATCATCTTGTAATGTAGATTCAAAAATTCAAACAAGACTCGAGCTATTCTCTACAAGACGGTCATTTATCCTTTTCGAAGATTGGTGCACTCAATTCAAGATCTATTATACCGATCCCTTTGTCTTTGACTATGTTGTTGACAAATAAAAGCCTGATATGACTTGTTGCTAGTTAGAGATGTAGGTTGAAGGTTAACTAAATCATAATCTCCATCATCAGATGGTTTGAAAATATCCATCACAACATAAATAGATTTAGTGGAATAGCTAGACCCCAACTTTAGCGGCAGAAACTGGAAAGACTGGAAAAAAATAATACAACATATTGTAAAGCATACACACAGTAGAACTAAAGTTTAGAACATAAGCTGTGTGAACATTAGTTGAAGACATACTTTAGAATGAAGGAAAAATGTGTCTTCTAGAACGCACAAAAGAAGCTCAAGAACTAACAACCTATTACAAAATTTATAAGTTACTATAGATAAATAACCAAAATAAACTTACAACATAAACCCTTGAACAAAAACTTATAAATATGTCAATTGAGAGAACTTACACAAGATAGAGTACAATGCTGTAATCATCAATTACAATGATTAAGAAATATAGTCGAATACTATATAACATAATGTTATGAAGTGGTATAATTGTT